TCCCACTGTATTGTCCTGCCCCTCCCACTGTATTGTCCCATCCCTCCCACTGTATTGTCCCATCCTTCCCCTTCCACTGTATTGTCCTGCCCCTCCCAATATCAATAGGTGATTGTTACCTATATTACAATGATATATTACCCTCAGATATTAAAGGTATGTGTCATTCTGGAAATATTCTCTGACGGTCAGGTGTGACCTAGTCTGACTAATATTTTTCTAATTTTGGTTAAGCTAAGATATTGGAACAGACATCCCTTTTGCATGGTTCTTTATCTTTCTGTTTCAATATCTGAGGCTGTATGTCCAATAATGTGACAGATTGTATATACCAATCCCAGAGTATTGTCTTTCCCCTCCCAGAGTATTGTCCTGCTCCTCTGGACCCACTGAATTGTCCTACCCTCCCATTTCTCCAGTATTGTCCTAGCCTCCCACTGTATTGTCCTTCCCCTCCCACTGTACTGTCCCATCCCTCCCACTGTATTGTCCCATCCCTCCCACTGTATTGTTCTGCCCCTCCCACTGTATTGTTCTGCCCCTCCCACTGTATTGTCCCATTCCTCCCATCCCACTGTATTGTTCTGCCCCTCCCCCTGTATTGTCCTGTCCCTCCTACTGTATTGTCCCTTCCTTCCCACTGTATTGTCCTGCCCCTCCTACTGTATTGTCCTGTCCCTCCTACTGTATTGTTCTGCCCCTCCCACTGTATTGTCCTACCCCTTCCTCCCCACTGCATTGTCCTACCCCTTCCTTCCCACTGTATTGTCCTACCCCTCCCACTGTATTGTTCTGCCCCTCCCCCTGTATTGTCCTGTCCCTCCTACTGTATTGTACTGCCCCTCCCACTGTATTGTCCCATCCCTCCCACTGTATTGTTCTGCCCCTCCCATAGTATTGTCCTGCCCCTCCCGTCCCACTGTATTGTCCTGCCCCTCCCACTGTATTGTCCCATTCCTCCCCTTCCACTGTATTGTCCTCCCCCTCCCCCTGTATTGTCATACCCCTTCCTTCCAACTGTATTGTCCTGCCTCTCCCTTCTCACTGTATTGTCCCATCCCTCCCCTTCCACTGTATGGTCCTTTCCCTCCCACTGTATTTTCCCATCCCTCCTCTTCTACTGTATTGTCCTCCCCCTCCCCCTGTATTGTCATACCCCTTCCTTCCAACTGTATTGTCCTGCCTCTCCCTTCTCACTGTATTGTCCCATCCCTCCCCCTCCCCTGTATTGTCCTTTCCCTCCCCCTGTATTTTCCCATCCCTCCTCTTCTACTGTATTGTCCCCCCCCTCCCCCTGTATTATCATACCCTTTCCTTCCAACTGTATTGTCCTGCCTCTCCCTTCTCACTGTATTGTCCCATCCCTCCCCTTCCACTGTATTGTCCTTTCCCTCCCCCTGTATTTTCCCATCCCTCCTCTTCTACTGTATTGTCCCCCCCCTCCCCCTGTATTATCATCCCCCTTCCTTCCAACTGTATTGTCCTGCCTCTCCCTTCTCACTGTATTGTCCCATCCCTCCCCCTCCCCTGTATTGTCCTTTCCCTCCCCCTGTATTTTCCCATCCCTCCTCTTCTACTGTATTGTCCCCCCCCTCCCCCTGTATTATCATACCCTTTCCTTCCAACTGTATTGTCCTGCCTCTCCCTTCTCACTGTATTGTCCCATCCCTCCCCTTCCACTGTATTGTCCTTTCCCTCCCACTGTATTTTCCCATCCCTCCTCTTCTACTGTATTGTCCTCCCCCTCCCCCTGTATTGTCATACCCCTTCCTTCCAACTGTATTGTCCTGCCTCTCCCTTCTCACTGTATTGTCCCATCCCCCCCCTTCCACTTTAATGTCCTACCCCTTTCCTCCCACTGTCTTGTCCCATCCCTCCCACTGTATTGTCCCATCCCTCCCCTTCCACTGTATGGTCCTTTCCCTCCCACTGTATTTTCCCATCCCTCCTCTTCTACTGTATTGTCCCCCCCCTCCCCCTGTATTATCATCCCCCTTCCTTCCAACTGTATTGTCCTGCCTCTCCCTTCTCACTGTATTGTCCCATCCCTCCCCTTCCACTGTATTGTCCTTTCCCTCCCACTGTATTTTCCCATCCCTCCTCTTCTACTGTATTGTCCTCCCCCTCCCCCTGTATTGTCCTACCCCTTCCTTCCCACTGTATTGTCCCATCCCTCCCCTTCCACTTTAATGTCCTACCCCTTCCCTCCCACTGTCTTGTCCCATCCCTCCCCTTCCATTGTCCCTACATAACCTGCCTAACTCAAAATAGGAACAATACAAATATTATAATGATTTAGAATGAAGTGCCAGAGTTACCCGGTTAGATAAAACTGCCATTTTGATATTCTCATTTATAATCATACCTGGGCATCCTTACCTGCAGTTTTCTACAGGTATAATCCCCAGATTGTCCCAACAACATTGTGTACTTTACAGACATTGATTTTTGTTAAGTTGATAGCATTAATGGTTTGTACATTCCAATGGCTACAAGTGTACCCAAACCTATAATCTCACCTGAGTCTCTATTGTCTACCTGTGTAACGTTACACCTGGATTACATGTGTAATATTGCATATAAATGAGTTGTTACTTTACCTGGGAAACAGAGGCTATCACTGTAATCATATTAGCACACTGTGTATCCCTTTAGTAAATGTTTAGAGATACTATCAGATATAATCCTAACACATTATACCCACCCCAGCACTCTCAGTGTACACACTCTTACTTAGTAAGCCTACAAGTAAACAATTGTAACTGTCTCATGGGAGGAGGGGATCAGTTAATGATACTTGTCTCAACACATTTTGGACAGCCAAACTGACCAACATCACCACCTAATAACCTGTAGAAGCTGATAATGGGTGGTCGACTCCCTACTTTGAAATGACATACGTTGTTTTGACAAGGAAGGTATACTTACAGACTTTCTCTGTGAGGGTGACCAGGGTTGTTCCGTCCCCGACACTTTTCCTTAGGTCCACTATAGGAACACTTTTATCTTTTGGGTTGTCAGATTTCAGAAGCTCATTAGCCCAAGTAGTATGATCCTGTCAAGGAAATGAATATCGATAATAAATCTCCTGGCACAAATTCAATTCAATATCATCGGTTGTTGGTAGTGTTATTCCTGAGGGCGACCATGTACACTGGGATATCATTAGTAGGTCACACATGTATTTGTATACAAAAACATGTATATACCTTTTAAGGAATTGCAACAACCAGATGTAGATTAATTATCTGGCATTTCCTCAAAATGTCCTCCACACATGTAGGCTGTGATTCAACATCAGCTACCCATCACATTAGTAATCCTAGCTCAGCTTCTCTGGTCCAAGACTCAGAGTGAATCCACTCAATAAACAAGTGCACTTAAGTTATGTGTATCAGAATTGCTTTTTTAAATCACAAAAACAAATTTGTTGGCGCTGTTTCAAAATGAGCATGTGATCCACAACATATATACATAAATAGCCAGCCTGACAGGAAAGTCTGGCACTGTGAATAAACACTCCTAGATTCCTGTTAATATATGATAGGAATTTGATCTTAAATGGGTAGAATATGGTATATAAATGTTATAGGTAGACCGTCTACTGCTATTCCAGGTGGAGTGGGTGTTTGCCGTAGTGGTGACTTTAAACTTTGAGGCATGTCCTGGCATGAAGCCATCATTACTAGAATCAAGACTACTACCGTTAGAATTAACAGCCTATAAGAGACAGACTAATACTAACACAGGTAAACTTACCCTTAGGTGCTAAATTGGTATGTTTTATCAATAAGACATAATGCTATGAAGGCCACATAATGTCAGACCTGGTCGTCTGTGTGTACAATATTGGCTGGTCATTGATTGTACAACTTCAATAGACACACAAAAATCCCACAGGTTCACACTTGTAATCTGACTGTGCTGAAAACCCCCAGGCCTTTGTTCCTCATGTATAATACAGGTGCCCTCCGAGCCTGCATACCCTAAATAGGGCATTTTAGTTTAAATGTCAAACATGAAAAAAAAAATTCTATGGAAGTTGTCCATTGAAGGCAAATACAAAAGCGTGGGGTATCAGGCAGACCCGTTCTCCATATTGTGGTGTGGACAGGCTGAATAAATAATAAGTTATTTGATAAATTGAAATCTCACATGGTAATTTTTCTGTCTCTAAAAGGTTTGATTCAAATTTTTAAAAGCATTTAATATGTTCACAATGTGCTTAATTCACAAACCTTTCATGGATATAATTGCCAATAAAAAGGCTAATCATATGAACTCTCTAATTGAAGCTTACATTTGAATGTCATTTAGAGGCAAACAAATAATATAATTAAAAGCATTGATAAGAATTAAGAAAGTAGAGTTTTTTAGATTGATATACTTTAAGCTATCATGAATGTAATGTTCTCATTATGATACTTTTCTTATCATAGCCACAATTAATTTAGAATGAGTTATTAAAATTATTGGAATATATTTGGAAATCTGAACATATAAATATTTTAGAACTTAAAAAAATACACTAGAAAACTTGAAACTCAAACCTGTCACACACATTATATGAATATGTTACATACACAATTGTATATATTATCTAAATGAATTTGGCTATACATATTCTCATGAAAATTTCTTAGTAAGCTTATTAATGACCAAAGGCCAAACATTTGTTTAAAAAAGAACCATCTCCGCTCCTGTGGTAAATTTATTGTAATACAGTAATTAAAAGCCTATAATACTAATACAAAAGACTGGGAAACAATCTTACAAAGAAAGGAAAAATTACCATGTTTAAGGCTTTTATTCTATCAAATTTTAACTATTGTCCACTTGCCTGGCACTTTTATTTGTACTTTGACAAATACTCTAAAAATGGAAAAAGTTCAGGAACGAGCACTTCGTTTTATTGAAAATGATTATGTTTCCCCAGTCATTGATATTCTTAGAAAACACAAACTTGATTTTTTACATGTAAAACGTATGAAAGATATGGCCTCTGAGGTTTTTAAAATTTTAAATGAAATCTCTCCATCAATTTTACAAAATCTTGTTGAGAGGAAAGAAGTTTTTTACAATCTGAGACAAGATAACCTGGTAAAGATCCCAAAGGTGAACACCTCCACATATGGTAAGAGATCTTTCCGTTTTGCTGCTTCCCAGGTGTGGAACAGCCTACCAAATGAACTTGGGTTAGCTGAAAACTATAAGTCGTTTCGTGGGCTGCTTCGCACCTGGAACAAAAATGTCTGCTCATGTGCTATCTGCACACACCATATAGTGTGAGTTGTCCCCCTTTGGAATCTACCTACATGTTTTATACTACAACTATTTAATTTCACTGTTGCTTTTGTTATTTAATTAAATATACTTCAGTAATATACTTACTATATTTTTGATATTTATTTTGGATTTAAGCTCCATTATTTAAAAGATCATTACTTTTTTACAATATCATAATTATAGCTCTGTTTCTATTTATGACTTCATTGTCTCTTTTTAATTCACACTATATTAGTGTATATCCTGTAAATTTTTACACTTTGCTACATTAGCACATATGTACATTACACTATTATAGTGTCTTAACTTGTCTTTTGTAACACTTATGTGACATTCAAGTGTGATATCATATGCTCTACTGTATAATTTTAGCATAGTTGTCCTGTTTTTATATTTATATATATTCATAAGTACTGTGATCCTTGTTAAATTTTATATATGTTTTGTCGCAAGAATAGCACTACAGTGCTAATGTTATTATGTTACATGTATATGCGACGTTAGATAAAGCTTCTTGACTCTTGACTCTTGAATGTGTGATGTAAGCTCAAGACTACCAGAGTTGCCTCCCTTCTACCCTCTGACCTACAGTAACAAAGTTCCATAAAAAATCAAGCGAATACTTTGGATATGCCTTTAAGTCAAATAAACATGAACTTGATATGTTTGTTCTGCATTCATTTCCAGCATTGATAATTTACCTATGTATTGAAAAGGATGTTCTATGAAATATTAAATACTGTGATTTTCAATACAAACACTGCTTTTGAAGAAGAAAAACCGCCCTATGATGAGGGGATAACAACCCCACTGTTTTTGCTAGAGGAGTTTTACTGGCAACACAGAGCCGTTCTGGCAATGAAACAGATGTATATATGCAACAGTCTCAAAATATGACCGTTTTGTCCCCATTCTAATCTTTATCATGTAAAAATAATAAAAGACAATAATTTTAGGTTCGTTTAGTGGTGGGTTGTCCAAAATAACAATCCTTTAAAAAAAAATGAGGGAGGAAATAATTTCTAAAAGGTGACAGTTATTTCAGACTAAGATCTGCATGGGTCACTCTGCCACAGATTGGTGATATAAGTAAAATTCAAAGTGAACCAAAAAAACATTGACTATTCAGGGTCACGCTACCATTTATGACATCATTGGTAATCAATTTCATGACGTGTCAGGGTCGGTCAGCCTCATATGCAAATGGGAAATTTACAGACTGTATGATTGTGGTCATATCATCACAAATTATTTTTTCTGACCAACAGATTTCCATGATACATCTGAAATGAATTGAAATTAACATTTCACAATACAGTGTATGCATGTTAAGAATTATAAATGGTAGGTTCTACGATACGTGTGCCCAGGATGCCTGGTAAATCACAGAAAGGGAAAGGTGTGCACTATCAATAGGAAGTGTCTGTTAGGGTGACTACATGTGTTTTAATAGTCATGATGTTCAGTGTCCAGAGTTAGCCTGCTTTCATGATCTTATTACTAATACACACGTCCTGTTCATGAGTGTGCATTTATTAGATTCAAATCAAAATTCAAGGACAAAAGAAAGTCAAAATTGTATTTTAATCACTTACATAAGGGTTTCTAACAAACGTAAAGCTCATCATGTCTCAAAAAGCCTTCTCTGCATAAGTAAATTAAGAGAAATCACTGCACTCTAAATATACATTTATTTACATATAATTTCATAACAGCAAATTCTGTGGCATGTTCCCCAATTTTATTGAAAAGGGAGAACACTTTTTTCTCAAATGTCAGTCTTTTTCAGCAGCCCCATAGACTGACGATCAACTTTGTTTTCCTATCCTCATCAAATTATCCCCAACAATATCTTTGAACACAACATGATACAATATAGAGGATTTTTAATAGTTTCCTGTCAAATACTAAAAAACACGAAAAATATCTAAAACAACCAAAAGGTTCCTGCATCAAAACAGATGGGGATATATGAGTGTGGTATTTGGTGCTACATTCTAATGATGTCACACTTTAGGCTGCACACTGTTTTACATGGGCTTACTCAACACAATCCTAATTTTTTCTGTTACAATCGGGTAAGATTTGTTTTCATAAATGGTATCAACTGAGTAAGTAAGAGGTTGATATAATTGACTATCCCTCAGCAAAACTGCAATAATATGTAATACAGACAACGTTCAGTAGAAAGACAGTACAAATCAAATAGGGTACCAACCAAAATAGGGTAGAGTATAGATTCTGTACAACACAGGTACGGTAAATGTATTTATTATAATTTCATTTCAGCATCAGCTTGATGATATCTAAATCACTATATACTGACAAGGAAAACATGTATATTGCAATACATATTGTTTTGTACCACAATACAGGGATGAAATATTGCTGTATCACAACATTTTTTGAAAAGCTTATTTTTATGTATCTCATTCTGCTTGGTGTTTTAACTTTGCAAATAACTACAAATTCTAACAGATATGCCAATAAGCATAAAACAGGCTTTTAATTAGTTCAAATTTTGTAATCGATGGTTGGTTTAAAAATCTTAAATCCATGTGATCCATATTGTATGTGATTAGGTTTGATAACATTCTGACAACGACTTATTATAAAATCAAGCACATCTTTCCTATGACAATAAATCGGGATACGTATTGCAATATATTCATTCTGTATTGCAATATATCGTGATACACTCTTCACTTATTGTGACACCCCTAACCTACAGTATACTGCTGAAGGAAGCACAAACAATTACTGAACCCA